AGATTTGACTGTTGATCTGGGTTTTACGAATTGTTTAGTAGTGAGATGTGGCAAGTTATTCTGGGAGCAGCCATTGCTGGATCCACTGGCTTTGTAGCCAAACGCTTCTTAAACCCTTTCTCACGAGATTCTCGTCTTCTTGAGGATTACCCTGAAGAGAAGGAGCCTATCACTCCTCCTGTTGGTATTGGATTTCTCGATTTACCTGGCGACAAAACCGATGGCGTTTTCCGGTTTTCTAGTTCCGGGTCTACTGTAAACTCAGGGTCCGGATCCGGGTCGTCTCCTGGGTTTAGGACGAGCTCGGGAGTGAAATGTAAGGTTAGGGTTCGTGGATTGATGAATAAGAAGAAGGAAAGGAATGGTGAGGGGTATGAGATCGAGAAGCGATCTGGAAATGTCTGTGCTGTTAAAACGAAGAGTGATGTTTGTTTGAAAAAGCCGAGAACTTTGGGTTCTGCTTCTTCTTCAAAACGTGGGTTATGTTATGATAATCAAGGTTTTGCTTCTAACTCTTTCGAAACTCTGATAATTTCTTATGTAAATTGAAGCAAAGAATGAAATCTGAGTTGATGAAAAAAACTTCTGTTCATGCTGTGTTGGGATTCTTCTCACTTGCATGATGGGAAATTTGAATCTTTGTTAGTGTGTTTATGTGTGTTTCCATGTGTGTATTTTATGTGTGACAAGGTTGAGTTGATGAAAAACTCTGATAAGCTTGTGTTTATGTGCGTTTCCAAGTGCTAATTTGCTTATTGTCATCTATAAATATTTGACTTGTTGTCAATATCATTTGATTTGAGGTTTGATTCTACCTCATTGGAATGTTTTCCTTGCGGTAATCGTGTGCTTGTCAACAATATAACAACGACTCATCACATTCCTGTTGGTATTGTTCATTATTGACACTTAGTTTTTCTGTGTTTCAGATAATTCCTCTTTTAGCTCGGTGCTTGGTGTATGCATGATGTATATGATGTCTGCAGAGAAAAGTGAAATCACTAAGCTGCATGCAGCAACAGAAGAAACTGCCAAAGTCATCCAGGAGCTCAAAGATGAACTTTCTAGGATAAAAACTTTACAAGGTTTCAAAATTCGTGGTCGTGCAGCAAGTTCTGAGAAATCCAGTGGGAAATCAGTTCAGATAGATCTCAGTAGATCAGAGATGGCGAGTCGAGAATCTCTTGACAATAAGTCGGGAAATAACGGAGAATATGCTAGCAGTGTCCTAACTGAGGAGCCAGAACAAGAGGCGGTAGAAATGGAACAGTTAGAGATGGAACTTGAGTCTGAGCTGCAGAAACTGAATTTGGCTGAGGTGAGTGCGTTTTTATCGTGTTCTCTTAGTCTATGTACCAATTTTTCCATACATGGCTTAACCTGAGAGTATTCTCAAATCTGATTCCTGGTAATCTTGTTAGAGGTTAGATTCTTAGTTAACTTTAAGAGAACATGGTCATGCACCATATGGATTGTTTTCCCTACATTATATTGTTGGGCATTGGTTGGATTTTGAAGTTTATGTTAAACTCTTTTTTTTCCCTTAGACAAGTGAAGTTATGAAAGAATGTAAGGATTTGGTGAATGTATCTGAGTCATACCAATGTGGTGGAATATCGGCATCAGAGCTGGACAAGAAACTAAGCCACCTACTCATCGAACAACAGGAAGGCCAGATCAATGAGCTTGAAGCTGAACTGCAAACCACACAGTCCAAACTGCAAGAAAAGGAAGCCGAGCTCCAAGCGCTTAAGGTCTGCGTTAGACGCCTGACTGAGTTTCCTCTGTTGGACCGATCAGGTACACTTCGTTAGCTAGACCTCATTTTGAAGTTTCTCATTGACAAGAACTGAAAAAAAACTGAAACTGAACAAACTTTTGAAAATCATATGCATGCTTGAATTCCTTTCGCGGAGATCAAACTTTAGGTTATGCAAGATGAGCAATCTCTCATGGCATAAAACATTTCTTGTTGTTTCCTCAGATGATGAACATGAACAAAACCTGAACCAGGATCTCTCAGTCTCATGGAGTCAGCATAACCAAACTGATAACGAGGCAAGAAAGCCGGCCATTGGGATGAAAAGACCTATGGAGTCATCTACTATCCATGTTTAACAAAGGGTCACAACTTTACGGACACCTCAAATGCCATCCCAAAACCTGCACATTATGTTCTTGTATGGACTCCATTCTTGCAACACCAAAGCGATCCAAATCTCTAAAGGTGTGTAACGTCAAATCATGGCAAGGTGGTGTTGTACGCAAACAAATTAGAATCATTTTGTATATTCACCAGACGAATCCCAGGCTGTCAGATTGCTTCAGAGTCCTGTATTGTCTAGATATTTATATTTTTTTGTTTTTCTTTCTTTATAGAGGTTTAGATTGCTAGGTTTTGTAGAAGGGCTAATGATTATGGATTGTGAACTTATAAGTTGCTTTTGTATTATCAAGCTGTTAAGTATATGTCTCTTGATGTTCAGTGCAGGTCACTGATGATCCTTAATTAGCTATATATATGTAGATTCCTCTTGTAATGACCATTCAAAACTTAAACCGCACAGATGATTTCGTTTGGGTATATTCTACATCGAAAGGATCTCAACAGAACTTATAGAGTTGAGGTTTTATTGTCAATTCAAAGAAAAACATGCTAATATCAGAACATTCAAAACAAAAGCGTCATACAATTTCTAGTCCTGCGAAATGAGTTATATCATCAAGCGATAAAATCCCATTCCCAACGACCTACTCGCCAGGAACTTGAACGC